CTAGAACAGAGATTTTAACCAAAACGTTATATCACATATTTGATTCACAATGACACATTCAACGATGTGCCAGTACACACTCCTAGTTCACCTACACCCAATGTTCCCTCTAAGATGTGGAGTCTTGTGAGCAAAATTTCTGCTTTGTGTGCTACTGGCATTAAAGTTGTGAGCGAGCAATTTGGCTTCTGCATAAAGTAGTTTGCTCTGGAGCCCTCCTTCCTGAGCTAAGACAAAAAATGTGTGAGCTGGAGGCTAAAAAACTGCGAGCTAGCTCACACTAACTCAGCTTAGAGGGAACACTGCCTACACCTTCTGAGATTTTCAGTGTATCCCTCAATTTAAATTTTGCATGTAAAAAAAAAATCACAGTTCCAGAGCTCCCATTTGTAAGTTTCTCAACATTCAAATCTGCATACCTTTAATGGATCTGGAAGCCGCGATGTCAGTTTCTCCATGTATTCCTGAATTGCTGGATGCATGTAGACACTGGCTGTGTGCCATAAGCGACCAAGTTGTTTCTGGGCAGCTGCTGTTACTTTCCTGTGAGAATTTGGAAAGATAATAGTTTGTCAGGGATCCCCCAACATAGTACCCAAAACCTTTCCTGGTGCCCAGAGAGTGTTTTTAGAAAGCGGGCGGGGCCAGGTAAGACTTTTGCCCAGCAAGCCTTCTGACTGGCCACTGGAGATTAGATTTTTAGAAATGTTGCTGTGGCAACAGCTGCCACCACAGCACAAGGATCTTCACTGTCTGATTGAAGTTAAGTTGCGGCAGCCATTTTGTGGCTGGCTCCAACCCCTGTGGCAGTTATTTTTTTGCTGTGCCGCCACACTGTGTCAAAATGCCAATGGGGCCTGCAGGCTCCAAAAGTTCTGGGATCCCTGGTTTAACTCATAATTTACGATAACACAGCTTTCTTGGATCTGCTGTACTGTAAAAAAAAATCCTGTAAAATCAATGGCTGATATCTGCAATGACGCCCATCGGGCAGAGGAAGGAGCCGAAGAAATAGAAGTTCCTTTCATCTGTTGTAATATCTCACATCCGTCAAACAAACAAGCCAAAATACTTGAGCCAAAATACTTCAGAGTGGCATGTCTACCACTGAAAAAAGGGCTCTCCACACACTGAAGTCCCTTACTGAACAAATATCACGTACATAAGTGGCAAATGCCTTCGGTTTTTGTGTTTTAATGGAAAGTCTCCAAATGGCTCAGCTGACTTGTACAAACAAGGTATCATCAGAAAGTCCATAGTGCGCCGGCAGTAAGTATATGGTTTAATTTTTTTTTTAAAAGTTATGCATTGTCCTTAGAGATTTCAAATGTTAGCATTTTTCCTCCAAGTCTCTCTTTACAGACTGGAAAGAGGCCCCCAGTGATGTCACAGCAGCTAAGCCAATGGCAGGCAGAACAGCTGCATCTTCTCCCTCAGCCTGGGCCCCCTGTGAAATCACGGCAGATTCCCCATTCCCTGCCAGATGTAGAGATGCCAGCCCCCAGATGGGACCTGAATTACAGCTCATCTCCAGACAACAGAGATCTGTTCCCCCTAAGAAAATGGATTCTTTGGGGGGTTGACTCTGTGGCATTGTACCCCACTGAGGTCACTGTCCTCCCCAGGGTCCTTCCCCAAATCTCCGGGAGTTTCCCATCCTGGATCTGGCAACCCTACCTCCCCATCCCCTGCCAGTGGCTGAAGGGGACCTGGCAACCCTAGCCAGGTGGCACTCACTGCAAATGCTCTGTGATCACACTAAAGCCTACCTCTGAGCCAGTGGGCCTAATCACATACTTACGGGTGGCAATGGCCGACACCAACAGTGGCAATCCCAGCAAAGAGATCGAGGTACCTACGGCCTTCATGGTCAAACAGCCACTGCATGTGCCCCTGGTGTAGCATCAGTGGTCTCTTGTAATAGAGTATGAGGGACGGGGAAACATACTGTCTACGGATCTTCAGCACGTGCTCATAGGGATAAGACTGCAGGCAGAAAAACAGATCGGTTCAGTCAGTCAGTCAGTGGGCTTTTCGGCCTTCTCCATTTCCCTCACTTGTGTGTTCTTGTCGCTTCGGGGAGGGTGGTGGTGTTTCCTATCCTGTACATGTTTTGCTCTCTCTAGTAGTTGATTCGATATTACCCCATCTTATGTCTGACAGAAGCTTACAGTTTAAATTTGCAGGGAGATATGCCGGACATAACCTGATGTAATAGTGAATTGACCACTAGAAGTAGAAAAAAACATATGGAACAACCCCCCCCCCCAAGCAACAGGAACACACACACAAGGAAAATGAGAATGAGGAAAAGCTGAGTCTTTATTACATCCCACAAGCCATACAGAAGCAGAAAAATCCTGTTATTTAGTTAATTCTCCAAATAAGATCTCGGCATGCATCCTTCATCCTAATATATCTAACAGTTTAAGGGATGGAGAGCCAGTGCGGTGTAGTAGTTAAGAGTGTCGGACTAGGATTTGGGGGACCAGGTTCGAATCCCCACAGAGTTATTTATGCCTTTCTGTAGTCCATTAAAGTCAATGGATTTAGAAAGGCATAAATCTGTTTAGAAATACACTGTAAAGCCCCAAGAACAGCTTGTCCATAAAGAGCAGGAACAAGTACATCACACACTCACCTCATACTTTTCAGGCACAAAGTCACAAGGCGGCATTGTTGAATGCAGGCAGGCGGAGTTTTCCCATTCCT